CTTTGTAAAAGTTTATCCTGAGGCAAAAGAAGCTTTGTAGAGAAACCCCTATGCTAACTCGTCATTCATTCCAGCTGCCTGAATACTTCTACATGACAATTGAAAAGAAAGCTGGGCAACCTCAGCAGGTCTCCAGTATCAGTTAAAAATCACAGCAGCCATTTACTAGGAAATCCTTGCTTGCTTTTTACCAAGAACTTTGTGCTGTTAGCATTTAGACCACCCTGCTTCTCAAAAGCTAAGGCAATGATGCACAAGTTGTACTAATTTAAGTCAAGCCAAACCCCAAAACAGATCAAATGATATTCTTTTCCATCCATACTATCATTTCTGTATCCAAGACACACTAACAGCAAGTCTCTTAAATGCTCTAAGGACAAAGAGGGCAGAATAAGCACTGCCTGAAATATTACACTGGGCTCAACTTTAGCAAATGTACTTGGAATAAGACTAACATTGCCATACTCCTACACAACATTTCAGTCCATCCATGTTAATAAAAGAGCTCTAAAGCTTTCAGATTATCTAATCTTGTTTTTTCCTTTGCAGCTCAGCGTCCTTCTTAGATGCAACAGACAACCATGCCTGTCTATGCTTTTCTGTGAAGAATATCCCAGCTGTTTAGGGATTGGCATATATTAGAAAGGTCCTCAGAAAGCCATCTCACAGGTTAACATTAGAGATTCAAACACTGTAGTCACAGGTATTAATTAAACATTCACAGCTCTGAATCCAATGCATGCTTCAAACACAAAAACAAGGAAAGTAGAAAGAGCGTTTCTTTCCATGATGTACAAAAGAATACAGTAAGGAAATGCACACATATAGACAAAAAGCAATAGAGACCAGATTTGTACGCATACTGATGGTTCTTAGCCAGGAGAACCATATTTTTAAATTGGTAAAATACTGTTTTCTCCTGCTTATACATCCCATAGTTTTGTAGTTTCTGTCCCACTATATTCTGGATGCTCTTTTCTAACCCACTCCTATTTTCACAGAGGTTCCCTGTTCCTTTGAACTCTGTTTGCCAGAAAAAACTGTACTCCAATTCATTTCTTATCTCTTATTGCCCTCCTATCTTCCTCCTCCTGGACTCTCCCCTCCATCTCTTTGTCTTATTTATTTCCCATGGCTTTCTTCAACTAAGAATGGGATAGCCAGTTTCCGTTTCTGAGACCTTCTTCCTTCCAGCAATACCATCGCAGCTCAGACTAGTTCCCACGCATCTTTCACATTCCCAATATCCTCTAACCTGCCCCCAGGTTTCCTTTTACCTTCTCTCCTAGTTTCTTAACTAAAAAAACATGACCCATATTTATTTGGTACTATGAGGCACAGGAGTGACTGGTGTCTCCCGTGTCTGGGGGGGTACAATCTGTGGGCAGGCCAAAAGCCCTATATCCACTCCTATACTTCTGTGCCGCAGCTTAATGCCCCCTCCTCCCCGCAACAAGGCAAAAAGACTGCCCTGACCTGAGCGGTGCTGAGTTGGGGGCCAATATTGAGGGGGCATGTGCCCCCCGTGTCCCCCCACCAGTCGCCTATGATGAAATGTTAGCATCCTCTCATTTTAATTTGACTCTGCACTAAATCAAGTGCTCCACACTGAATGCTTCAGAGGCTAATGTGCTCATACAAATAGATTATGCCCATTTTTCTCTTCCTGAGGCTAAGGACCTTCATTTGGGGGGAATTACTGAAGCATCATTGAGTTCTTGTGGAAGAGGAAAAGGAAATCCCTCCAACACCCCGCCCCTAAAAAAACCAAACCAAACAACCACCCCCATTTAAAGTCTATTGAAGTTGAAGAGGAAAAAACTG